GGGAAGTTTTAGAAGGGACAAAGCGCTGAGCTTTTTTACAGCGTAACATCTTATAAAAACCCTGTACTGCTTGTAACAAATTGAGTCTCTGGTTGCACTTTGCAAAGTGGCAACAGGGCTCCCAATATTGCAATATTGAAATAAAGACCTTACTCAGGTGAGAACTCTCTCTTGTGGCTTCCTTGATAGATAAATTTCCACGACACCGCTCAGGGACATGGCTGCGGTACTCACTTTCCCCCCGCCGCGGGCGGCCTCCTCATGCTGCTCCAGCAGTCTGCTGCCTCGCAGGGCCTCCGCAAGAGAGCGTCTGTGTTTCGGTGGCGAAACCCTGCACGGTGCATGACCGTGAAGTCGTAGTCCCGCAGGATCTCAATCCACCTCGCCATTTGACTCTCCGGCTCCTTGAAATTGAGCAGCCAGGAGAGGGGCACATGGTCCGTCCGTGGTTTAAATTGGGTCCCGAACAGATAGAACTTGAAGTGGCGGACCGCCGAGCCTACAGCCAGCAACTCCCCCCAGGTGACGTAATAATTCCTTTTGACCTTATTGAGTGCCCGGCTAAAGTAAGCGATGACCCTCTCCCCGTCTGGCCCCTTCTGTGCTACTACTGCTCCTACCCCTGTATCACTGGCATCTGTATCCAGCACATAGGGCAGCTTCGGATCCAGGAAAGCCAGGACAGGAGCCCCCACCAGTGCCTCCCACAGCCCCTGGAAGGCTGCTTCACAGTCCATGTCCCACACAAAATGCTGCCCTTTCTCCGTAACGCGGTGAAGCGGGGCAGCGAGGCTGCCAAAATCTTGAATGAACCTCTGGTAATAAGACGCCAACCCCAGGAAACTGCAGAACGGTGTGGCTTACCAGCCAGTTGCGCTCCACGGTGACCTTCCCCTGGTCCGTGACCACCCCTCGTGGCCCGACCACATACCCTAGGAAAGTGACCTCCCACCGCAGGAGCTTGCACTTTCCGGGTTTGAGCCCCAAATGCAAGCCAACACTAACCGGAGGTTCACCAGGGCCTGCTCAAAATCCCGGGCATGCACGAGTAAATCGTCTAAGTACACCATGCACTTGCTGGGGGTCTGGCTGCCTCGGTGCCCGGCAGGAAACGGGGACGCAGCAGGGTGATGGACGAGCCGGTGTTGACCAGGCCCTGTCAGGGTCTGCCCTAGATGAGTCAGGGAAGAAATAAACCCCGGCTGTGGTCAACCCTTCTTACGGCAACAGACGGGGTGAAGCGCTCTTCCTGACTCTCCGGAGCAGGGGTAATGTCATTCAAGGGTGGCGTTTCCCCCTTTAGGCCACCTTACTCCCCTTTCCTGACACCCTCCGGAGGCCCCACAGCTGTGGCAGATGACCCGCCATTGTTCATCCCCTGGCATCGCCGCACTGGCCATCTCCTCCTCCCCATCTAATTCCCTGGGTGCTGCCTCTGCTGCCCGGCAGGGAACACCCCTCCGGTGATGCCCACCGGTCTCCTCGAACACGGCATCAGCCTGCTCAGCCAGAGCCAGGGCCTCCTCCAAGGAGACCGGCACTGCCAGCATCACGTGGAGCTGCACCTCAGTCGGCACAATGGCCCGGAGGAATGCCTGGAACAATATCTCCCGGTGGGCCTCCTTCAGGAGAGTAGGGTAACCCTGGCGGGCTGGACTGAGGGAACATAAGCTGTCTCATTCCTGCCACATGGACTGAGGGAACGCAGGAGTAGGCCGCCACTGGGAAACCCTGATAAGGGTTATGGCACCGGTGGCGGCTGCCACTTGCCCCCAGAAGGCGCTTTAGGAGGTCGCTTGGCTGCTGGAGAAACCGGCACTTCTCCAAGGCCGACATTAACGGCTGTTCACTGTCCATCCTCCTGCTTCTGACATGAATGTAGTATTTTCGGGTTTGGCGAGGACGGACACAGTGATTCAGATACTCGTTGAATTAAAAACGGCTCTTTTATTTTTCGCCACTACCACCACACCCGCACGCCTGCCAAGAGAGAGAGAGAACGAGAGGTCTATTCAGGTAGTTACACAGGGATAGGGTGGCAGTTGGGTACACGTATAACAGGGGTGCTAAACCAGGAAACTATTTACACAAATCTAGGCGATCTCACCACTCTGTACGCCCGTTTTGCAATGGGTCAGCTGCACTGGTCAGCGGCCTTCCTAGTCCCCGCCCCGCCCACTACTACTCCCATCCTGCCCCAGCCGGGCGCTCTTTGGGGCCAGGCAAATGCGCTACAATAAGATACAATCTCATAAGACAGTATCTGCTGCTAGGTGCAAAGAATGCACTACCGATGTACAGCTTGTTTAGCTTTCAGTAGTGGACACAGATGGTACTAGACTTTGACTGTCAAATTAGATCCCTGGTGATCACCGCCATTGATGGCAAATATCATTCAGTGTAATGAATTTACCTATGTCAAGTCTAATTAATAGAATTTCCATTCCATTTACATTTTCATGACTTAAAATGACAGTGAACCTATTACAAACCAATTTTTAATGTCCTGGTAAACGCTGTGTGAGCACAGAAAGCAGAATGTGTTTAGTATTTTCCGCTTCTGCAAGCAATTACTTATTATTAGAATGCATTCTGGGAGATGAAAGGCACTGCCGACAAACTATTAAACACATACAAACAATAAATACTGCAGCAAATTAGCCCCAAGTAGGAGTACAGTCACTCAGAACAATGGTGGCAACAATCCTAGTGCAATTATAACACTCTCTCTAGAGGTCCCCTCAGATTCCAGCAATTCAACTCTTTCAATCCATGCACCAAAGGGGACAGTTTATGAATTTCCTCTTCGTGCCCAGACACTATTAGTTTGTCCCATGTGTGCCGTTGGACATGTCTATGACAAAAGTGATGAGCTAAAGCTCTTTGGATATGCACCTCTCCTCTTTTGAAAGCAGAACCCTCAAGGACAACACATGGTCACACACTGCACTGCACACCCTCTGAAACAATCAGATATGTTCCTTTAAAATACTGCAATAATAAACAGAATATCACCTGGTTATCACTGCTCTTGAGATGTCAGCAAATCTTAGTGTGGATCAGCAAATGGAAAAAGTACAAAAACTTAATTACATTCAGACAAATGCCAGCAGCCAGTCACAACTGGCAACCCACTGAAGCTAAGCAGGTGTGAGCCTGGTCAATACCTGGATGGGAGACCTCCTGGGAAAAACTAAGGTTGCTGCTGGAAGAGGTGTTAATGGGGCCAGGAGGTTGTGCTCACCTTGGGGTCTATGTGGGTCCTAATGCCCCAGTATAGTGATGGGGATGCTATACTGTAAAAAGGCGCCATCCTTTGGATGAGACATTAAACTGAGATCCTGACTCTCTGAGGTCATTATAAACCCCAGGGCCTTCCCATCGGCCTTTACTAATCATGGCCTCATAACAATCCCCATCACTAGGGGGATTCATCACTTTGTTCTCCTCCTCAGAGATAGCTGATGTGTGGTGAGCGTTCTGGCATTGCTGTTGCATCATCCAGATGGGTGCTGCACATTGATAATGGTGGAGGGGAGTCCCCATTACCTGTAAAGCACTTTGAGTGGAGTGTCCAGAAAATAACTATATAAGTATAAGGAATTATTATTATTAAATATACTGAAAAAAACTTTATTCGAGCATGCCACTGTTAAAATACAATACCAAAAAACATAAAAAATGTTTCAGGTGGGTAGCTGCGTCAGCATGCATAGGCTGCAAAGGAACAAGTAAATGTTTATTCCATGCTGAAAAGAGAAGAAAAATTCCCCGAAGAAGACACCCAAAGAAGGCTCCACAGCTGAAACATTGTGTTTCCTTTCTTCTCTTTTCAGCATGGAATAAACCTTTACTTATTCCTTTGCAACATAAATGTACTGTATATGCCATACACAAATAAGTAAAAGTACTTTTAACAACTTCATTAAAGAAGGGGACCCACTTCAGATGCCACACATCTCAGTGACATGCAGGAACAGGCCTGTTACACAACAGACTAATGACATTGGTGCTAGTACCCCTGCTTTTCTGAACAGTGGGATTGGATCATAAATTATCACAAGTAGTCAGAAACTAGCACTCTAGAAACTACAGCTTTCTGTATTTTTGTACAATTGTACTTTGCATTTCCTTTTTGAGAAACAACAATATTCTATAAATATGGGCAGGCTTTACCTCATCTTCTCACTTTAAGAAGAAACACAATAAATATCTTATTATATAAATAAAATGTTGGTCATCTTTGTTTCATCATCTGCTGTAGAAAAGGAAAAAAAAAGGCTTCTACCAGAAATAACCGTGGTTTGCAAACTTTTACTGACTTCCTGTTTTTAGAGACCAAAAGTTAACTACAGTAGATTGCCATTTTTATTTTAGAAAGAAAACAAAAACATGAAAAACAGTCGTTTTAGAATAAAAATTACTTAAATTTAATGTACATTTATCAATTAAATATAATAAGTAATACTGTGTTTTTAAAATATTCCAAGAAAAAGTGTAGACTAGTATATGAGCACATTTTTTGTGATAGAATATTACCGTATTTTTTTAAGATTGTGATGATAATGATGATGACAACAATGATGATGAAGATGATGACAATGATTGTACACATTATGCTAAAGTGCGATATTAAAGAGGTTTACTAGCTTTAGGTACTGTACATCCGAAGAAAGAGGAGTCGAGGAACGTCATAACGGGGACGTCCTTCTCGCCAGACATTACGCCTCCTTTCAGATTCAGTAATGCTGATTAGAAACGTTGTCAGGTGCTGGAGTACAGTAGCAGCTAGCTACTTAGCCTCAGGGCAGCTGGAAACAGGATGCAGACTAAGCAAAGGCGATTAGAAGTCTGATTGTCTCTTAAGGATATTTCCTGAAATAAGAGTGATCATGACAAGCCGACGGCGCGATGGTCAGCAAATGTGCTCAACGAGAGACTGCTATACATCGAATCTGTCAAGACTCCCGCAAAAGGATCTGTCCAGTACTGAAAAGGCAGGAAAATCAATGCAAAAGCTTCCAGCTTGGATGCGTCTTTATTTCTACGGAATGCATGGAATAACGTTGGATATTATATTGTCATCGGCGCAAATATTTGTTAAAACAAATGATTTCAAAATGCTGGGTTTCTCTTCTCCTTTTCTTTGCGTTGTTCACTCGATGACCCATTTTGCACTGGAGAAAGTATATTTGCAGAGAAAGAGCTTCCACAGATGCCCTGTTGTTTTCCATTGCATATTGTATCCTTCTGTTTATATTTTTCTGCATATTCTGGTTGAGAAAAACGTTGCAAGCTTAAACCACGTCAAACGTGTGTCTGTAGCACATCTTGCTGTTCAGTACCTCATAGCGCTATACTACGCTTACCTATTTCACAAAAAATTCTTACGACTACAGTACCATTGCCTTGGAAGCAATCAAGCTGAACTGATACTAGAAAGGTCTCTTCGAGGACTGCCTGGTATTATTCGATTTGTGTTCTTCGGTATGCACGGGTTTTTAGATGAAGTCATTTTCACCTCCATTTTCAATCTGATTGAAAACGATGACAGGACCTTGACTGGCCATACGTCTCTGTGGTCTTTTCTCATGTACGGAAGTTGCAGTTTCGTTGTGGAAAAGCTGTATTTATATCTACATTACAAAAGAGGCTGGAATGCGTGGAAAAGACTCCCTATTTATATTGGTTTCGTTTACACATGGGAATTTTCGTGGGGTCTGATCTTACGTCAGTACAATGCATGTTCTTGGGACTATTCGCACTATCCTCTAAATTTCAAGGGACTCATTACCCTGCTTTATTTACCTGGGTGGATCTGCCTAAGTTTGTACCAGGATATATTATCTAACATCCTGCTGCGTGTGGAATGCGCCGAAGGCAAAAACACCCAGACCTGCGTTATTAATGGGCAGCACCGTGTTAAAAATCATAAACATGTGACCTGAGGGGCGCTATCAGTTTTAATGTGAAAACTCTTCAATTACAGCAGTGTGCATATTTAAAATATTATTTCTACAGAGAAATTCCAGTAGCTGTTAAAGCAGCGTTATTTTTAGACGGATAACGTTCTAAGAGTGACGAATACAACATAAAAACAATCGTCAACAAGTTATAGCGTGTAATATGACGCCAAGTTTTCATTACTGTATTGACAAACTATTTTTTCTTGATTTTATTGAAACAGGCTCTATGGCAATAGGATGCTTGTACGTGCATGTACGTGTACTGTGCATACTGTATAATAATAACAACAAACTCGGTAGAACGTCAGGATTTTCGAAGATCGAGTTCTACTTACCACAATTAGTCCTTAGGTCTGCGATATTCATGACAAACCTTGCTTTTTAATAAGTTGGCATATAGGAGACGACTTAATTGTATATTTGAAGGCCAAACCTATTATACTTCCATAATTCTTGAATGAGTTTAAACTTAACAGAAGCAAGGGATAAACAAAAAAAAGTGTATCATTAGTAACGTGAACATTGTAAAGATAAGGCACTTGTGTAAGGCCACTCAGGTATGGGCAATGCTTTTAATTCTTGGAAAATTTAGATTAAAAATTGTCAAACATTTAAAGTTATATAATTCAACACAACATAGTTAAAATGTCATGGTGTCCTCTCTACCTAACAAAATGTTCACATCTTAAATATTAAGTGGTCTCACACAATTTCTGAAATAGTATAGTATACTGTATTTTCAAGACATTCTCTAACACATGCTGACAATAAACATACAGGAAGAATTACTAGTGACTGGAAATTGCCATTTGAAAGAGAAAGGTAAATTAAACTTAGGTAAACTCAAACTTGCCAGAATCCAACCTAAGTAAAAGTAGTGGAAAATAGTTATGGTTGTCAAAATAGATTATAAATTAATGGAGTGTTACTCTGAGTCATCCAAGTTAAATAGTATGGTAATATCTTCAAGAAGATGATCCGTCAATTAAGAAAACTGATCTTGATTAAATCTTATGTGTGTTTAATACAGATGCCAACAATCTAGAAAAACAAATGTATAAAAAATATTACATATTGTATTAAAATATTACTGTATGTGATAATATGCATAGGCAATTTAGTATATGTTAAATATGAATGCTTATTGAAAAAGATGGTGTATTAATTTTTCAAAACGTTTTATTTAAAAACATGACTAATATGTACAGTTGCATTTCAAAGTAGCTTTGCATTGTGAGAGCTAACATTTAAATAGCAAGCCTTCTAATCTCAATTAATATGTTGTTTAAGACCTACTGCATTATACACCTTTGTTTATACAACATAGTTGTGCAACTAGTTGAAGTACTTGGATAATTGATATGCCTTGCAAAAATTAAAGCTAGAAAATTGTTAACATATTTTCTATATACTGTAGAGGAATAATTTAACCTATGTATTTGAAAGATTTACTCAGATGCCTTAGCTGTAAACAATGTAATTATTTACTCTTTATCATGTAATGTTCTGTACTTGTAATTCATATACCTTCACCTTCAAATAGATTTGAACTCACCTTTTGTCAGTTTGTAATATTTTTTTAAAAATGAAAAATGAAAAAGTTTTTATCTACAGGTATAGGGCTCTTTAAATTTGATTTATTTCCAAATTGAATAGCCTTAAGGGTCTGAAAGATCATGTTGTTTTTCATAACACAGTTCATGTTGTATTCCCTTTTCGACAGAGTTGACTTTAATTTGCATGCAATTTACTCTACCACTTTTATTTTGGGCATTTCTACAAACTCAAAATACAGTTTTACATGTGTTTTGCAGCGTGTATTAATGGATGCAAAAGCCAGAGAGGTCAGATACAGTCCACGTCAAATGTATTTACACTTCTAAAATCACAAATCAAACTAAGGAATATGCAGTGTACAGTACCAAAGCTCAATTTCATTTTAAAATATTAAGTGTACATAGAAATTCACCAAAATCACAACTTTATAGTACATTTTTGCACACTATCACTGCAAAATACCAGTGATGAATTAGAAATAAATAGCAGAAAAAAACAACCTATCCGAATGATTACAAAATAAATAGAATTCATCTCTAATAACAATACTTTAGTATACCAAATAGTTGAGAACAAATGCTCAGATATGATAACAGCCTATCCAAGAGGCTTCACAGCATTGTAGCTAAGAAGACAAAACAGCTAAATAAATTAATAATCATTAACATGTGCATAACATTACAGAATGTGGCAGTGTTAACAGGCTAATTCCTTTTCATAACATATAAAAAAATGTATGATACACAAATTGTAAGATTAAAGAAATCTGTCATACAATGTGAAACATACATTATGTAAAAACATAAATGATTCTGTAAAACTAGTGACCAAAGACATGAAACAGCTTAGTAAGATGTGTTTATAAGAGAGCAGTACAAAAATCCCTGAGCACATACCATGCTAATGCACAAAATTTACATTAACAAATCCAATTGGTGTTTTGAAAAAAATACATAGGTGAGATTAAAATAAATTGTTCGTAAAATAGGATCAAATGTCTATATGAATACAATACAAAAAGAAAGGTTTATGATTAAAATTTCATCTAACCTGCTGTCAAGCAAGAGAGTTGTGCTGTCGTGGTGAGGTTCTGCTTTTTCTCTTTATGGAAATCTTTTCATGACTAAAAGTTAAATGTAGCAGTATACTAGAGCAATATTCATGCATACTGTATATCTGCATTTTGTGTTGTATGATTTAACATTTCACAATAAAATTGTTTTGCTAATCAAAAAAAGAAAAAAAGTCAGGAAATCTTAAAAGAGATCAATGTTGGAAAAAGTTGCTTTCATGGAGAGCAAAGTTCACAGGCTAGGTAATAATAAAATGCTGCAAAAACATTTCATGCTATAATTGAAGTCAGAGGTGTACAAAATACAGTATTAACCTACAGGACATGAATTCAGTTAGTTTCTCTAAACTGTACGTGTGCTTGCACGCATGTGTATTGTCCGGGTATGTGTGCATACACATCCTGCAATGGACTGGCATTCAATTCAGGTAAGCTCCGAGTTCCCACACCCCTTACCAGGAATATCGTGCATTTTGATAATAGTGATGCATTTATACATTATGATGTAAAGACAATATGTTTTTCAGTGTCTTCTTTTAAGCTTCTTTATAATATGTTTATTGTGGGTAGCTGTGTCAGCATGCGTAGGCTGCAATGGAACAAGTCAAGGTTTATTCCATGCTGAAAAGACACCTAAAGAAGGCTCCACAGCCGAAATGTGATGTTTTCTTTCTTCTCTTTTCAGCATGGAATAAAACTATTACTTGTTCTTTATAATATGACAATATTGGTGATGTTGTTAATACTGCATGATACCTTGCATCATGCAGTATATGTAAGAGGGTAAATACATATGACTTCTATTTTGCAGTTTAAATGAAAGGTGCACACTTGCATTTGTTTATTTCATTTCCTCCTTAGTGTGTTTTTTGTAAATTCCGAAATCATAAGTACAGTATATGTTAATATAGAATATAGAAGATATTTAATGTTATATTGATTCATGTACTGAACTTGTTAAGGCACCCTGTCTTGCCATTTTGAAAGGTTTGGACTCCTGTTGAGTCGTAAGAGACCTTAAATGCTAATCACTGTTATATTTTGTATTTTATATTATATATACACTGTTATAAATATATTTGTGCTTTCTTCATTTTGTGTTGTATGATTCAATGTTTTACAAAAACGTTGTCATTTACCTCAGCTTAAAGAAGAAAAAACTAAATAAAACACATCACAATTTAATTGTTTTTGCTCTAAATTCCAATGTTTTTGAGTTAATCTTCTCAAATGATATTTCAAAATTTTCTTAATTGAAGAAGCAATATGTTTTATGAGACTTTAAGGTTCTTGTTCAATTACATTATATTGATTTTAAATTATTTTTTAATTGCACTGTCAATTGAACCTTTTTCACTTTTTCAATTAAAATATTTTTAAAGCAAAGACTGTTCCCCGGTATCTGATGTAATCTAAAGGATAATATATTTTTTATCAATTTGGAGAACTTAATATTTAGTATGTTTGTTATTTTAATTTTCAATGTACAGTATTCAAATAGAACTTGCAGCTTTCTTATGTACATTTTCTCGATTCAATGTGTTGTATATGACCAAATAATATTGTAATTGAAAAAATAAGTGAAGTGAAATTACAGCTTAAGCATGAATACCCTGGTATGATGATAGTGTTATTGTTTTTTCCTTCAAGTTTTGATGATTTTCTCTTTGTATTTAAATTAACAGATAATATGTTTCTGTGGTTTCTAGCTATTCTTTTTAACATGTCAGTAGAACACAGCAGGGAAACAAGCTTGCAGGGCTATGCTCATTTGTACTTCACACTTGCTGCCTCCTGTGTTCAATTCCAATTGCTTGGGGAGCCTTCAGTGTGAAGTTTGCATGCTCTCTCAAACCCACGTGATTTTTTTCCAGGTGCTCTAGTTTCCATCTACTGTGTAAAGATGTGAGTCAATGCATTTCAGTGTGTTTGCCCTGTAATGGACTGTTGTCCTGCCCAGTTTGTTTTTCCACTTTTTGCCCTGTCCCTGTCAGGTTGGACTCATCACTGTCAACTAATAGTAAAGGGGTAACTTAAAGCCTATAGAAAGGTTAAATATGAAAGCAAGTCATTTAGGCGATCTGCCTCATCTGTTTACTTGTAAGTAGTTGATTACAAGGATTGCGGCCTTTCTTGAAATAATCCAGTGAGACGAAAACAATTTCTATATCACCTCAAATTGGTGTGCAGTTATTTGTATCCAGGTTATTATAGTGGTACAGAGAGTTACCGAGGAAGAAAGGTTGAGAGACAATGTGCATGGCAGAGTTAAATTAGAGATGAGGTTTAAGAGTTCTCATGGAATAAGAGTATAAAGAATTGGTGAGAAGTGTATATAATTTGCCAAGCTTGGCTGGTGGAAAGGAGGTGCAAAAGTTAGAATCAAGGACAATCCCTAGAGATCCAAGGAAGAAAATTTATTTCTCCATCTCATCTGACATTCAAAAACACAGTCAAGGCTGAAACGGCTCTAGTAGGAAAAGTTTCAGGATAGGTGTTCTGCAAGTGTTGAAAAGATTTGGACTGGTTCAGCAGTCCAAACTAAAATGTGAAATAATATTTATCTCGTTCATGCACCCAGGTGGCAGACATTGTTACTTAAGCCAGCAAGTGGTTTCCAAATCATGGAGGTCAGACCAGCGTGGCTGGCTTGGAGAAAGACGTGTAGGACTGAAAGCAGAATAGAGAGACAGGCTGGCATGGGGAAGCCAATTGCTGACAGACTGAGCAGTCACCTGCAGGTTCTGTAATGCTACAGAGTGCATTATGGAATTATGCAGAGCTTAACATAAGTTTGTAGCAACAAATGATAATGTGAGCAAAGTGGAGAATGAAATAAAAATAAAACCTCTTGGACTGAGAAGAAAAAAAACCTCTGGGAGTCCTCTTCCAAGCAGAATATGCTTTGGGATCTAATAAATCTTGGATGATCTCCACTTTGCAGATCAGGCTGGTGTTAAGTAAAATGGAAGACACTGTGCTGATCCATAAGACAGCCCAGCTACTCACATTGAGGTCACTTTAAGAAAGTGACGAAGAAGTGGTGCAGGAAATGGTACTGAGTGTGGTAGCTGATACCTATCAGTGAGCAGGAAGTCTTACATAAGTACTGAGTGATAATAACAGAGACTCATAGGGCTCATTGTGGAACTGAGCTTAATGCACTGAATATAAATGCTCTTACCTGTCTGGTGTGTTTTCTGTATAATGAGTAAGGATGGATGAATGTTTTCTGGATGAATAAGGATTTTGGCAGAGAGCTTGAGTCATACTGATTAAAACAATTTTGAGGGCAAATGGTCTGGTATATTTGAAAGGGTTTCTACCAATGTCATGTGGATGGAACACTTTGGGAGGTTGTTGTTGGGAAAGTTGGAACCTAATCTCTGCCACTGGAACTCTGTGATGAGAAATACAAATAAGGGCCCAGGCCAGGTGCAGACTGACACTGTGCGCTAGCACCCACAGGGCAGTATGAGTGTCAGATACCAGGGTGGAGTGCACAGGAATGAGTTATTGATGGCAAGCAGTAGTCTGGTGGAGTTGAGAAGACCTGAGCCCCTGGAGCACTGGACATCCAGGGCCATAGGTGGAAGAAGTGGAGAGGGGCGGGCTCGAGTGAGCATAGAGGCCTGAACCAGATCAGACTGATACTGTACCATGTAATTTCATTTTCAGGAATGGGGGAGGGGACATATGGGGTACTATGGGACAGAATTGGCAAGAGTAAGAGACGAAACAATGAAGAAAGGCTGGGTGGTTGGATACTCGACCAGAAACAGGGCAAAATGAAGGGCAAGAGAGGGAAAACGGAGACTGAGGAAAGGGGGAAAATAAGATCACTTTATTAGCCATATACAATTTCTTATATTAGGAATTTGTCTTTTCACATACCCCAACTTGCTCTCCATGAGACACACAGACAGGGAGAGAAGCTTGGGGTCAGAGCACAGGGTCAGCCATTTATGCGGTGCCCCTGGAGCAGTTGGATTTAAGGGCTTTGCTCAGGAGCCCAACAGAGTAGGATTTCTCTGCCGGCCGCGGGGTACAACCCAGCCACAGGCGCAGATCCTTAGCCACAGAGCCACCGCTCCACTCCAGAGGAGGGTATCAGAATCAGAAGAGGTATTGAAAAGGCGAAAGGGAAGGTGTGAGGAAGTGGCCAGGGAAGTTGAGGACATAAGTAGAACCATAAACAATGAATAAACTCCACGGCAAATGCAGGGGTCTGGTGGCTGTATAGACTATAGAGAAGGAGAAGTCAGAGAGCAGCTTATTTACTTTAAAGCAAGACGCAATTCCTGTCCTGGCTTGGAGGAGGCAAGTGATGATCAGATCCCTGGGTCCAGTCACACCAGAAACGACAGCAAATGTGAGAAGATGGTATGGTGCAAGCTGAACGAGGAATGCAAGAGACATGTAGGAAAAGCAAAAAAAAAATCTAGTGACGCCAAAAGCAAGAAATGTCTGTATGTGATGAAACTGAAACACCGGATGCAAGAAAGAACCACAAAGGGCAAGATTTGAAATTTGTCATCCTCCAAAACGTCTGCTTTAAAACACCATATGGCCCCACATCCAGGAGTTTTATATTTGACTCTTGTGTTTAATCTTAATAACAAAAAACGTAATCAATTTCAAAATCTAAACAGCAATTGTTCCCATAGATGAAACTTGCAAATTAATTGTTGTAGGTAAATGAGGTTTAAAGTGTCACTAGACGCATTCTTGAACATTTTCAGAGACTGTGTAATCAATTCTTTAGTGACCCCTAGACACATATTTTGCTAATGTGATAGTCACAGTTCCCCGCGGGGTCGTGCCCCCTGCCACCTGTTCCGTCCCGCACCCCTGGGGCGCAAACCTGGGTCTCCAGCCTAACATAACAGAGCTCCAACCGCGTGAGCTAAAGGAGACCTCCCTCAGCCCAGGCAGCTGAGGACCCTGCTATATGCAGTGAGGGCGCTGACTTCACCACAATAGCTCCGCTACACCAATTTGAGTTGTGAATGCAAATCCTTTCCACAACAAAGTGACCGCTTTTCTTTGTTTTTTGTTTACTTTGCTAAACAATATACTGCATACTGTATATATATAAAATATTTTGGATATATAGAATATAATTGAATCTTTAATGTGTACATATATATCACTGATCAGAGAAACCAGTTTAGTTAAACACAACATCTTAGGGAAACACTAACCTACAGTATACAGACCAACAGGAATCATGAATAAAAACCATTTTAAAAATTCTAGAGAAATTGCAAAGACGGGACTTTGATTATAAAGTGTTTCTGGAATACCCTTCCACATCCATTTTGAACGGCAGGATTTTCCCGTATAACAAAGACATGTAAACTTTGCTTCAAAAAAGTTGATATCTTCCTGTGAAAGCTTGCCTTCCACTGAAAGTGCTCCTGTTACTGATTTCTTAATTATAAATCTCCTGGGATCCAAGTGTAGGTAGTCACTGGTGTTCCATTTCTTTCTGACGCATCTTCCATTGTCATTGCAGAGGACAGTGCTACAAAATTTCGCTGCTGTAGATACATTCACAATGTACGGATTCAGGTTTTTTTCTAGATAGTGTTTCAACATGAGGCAAGAGTTCTTTAATGGAAGGAAATAGCACAAAAACATAGAACATTATTAGAAAAATAGGACTAATAATCACACAATGTTTTAATAATGGCAAAGTAGATGTGTTAATGATACACAACAAAGTAAAGTTCCTAATTGATCTGTGCTAGCACATTTTTCATCATGTTATCTTTTTTCCTGTGTTCCATGATACAGTAAACCTACTTCATAAAGTTAAACTACATCTCTAGCTTTTTGCTCTCCTCATGATTGGCATCAACTACAGGTTATGTCTAGAAATGAAAATACTTATTATATGATAATGAGTTGACTTTATTTTCCCAGTCATTGCTATCTATGCTATCGGTATGCTCCTACTTTGCTCCTGTCATCTTTAATACTCTTAATATCTGTAATGTAGGGTAGTTTGTTCCACCCTCAAATATCATTGATACTATTCTTTTTGAAATAACCTCAAAGCTCTGAATCCTTCTTCAGATGGTTACAGGTGAGAGAAGAGATATGACAGAAAGAGGTGGGTGGGGTAAGCAGACAATGAAAAGATTGGTGTGTAAAATGGGGATATTGTTTGGAAACATGAGGAACACCTTACAGTGAGAGGTGTGAAAAGCAGCAATCTATAATAACTGGGAGATGAAAAATAAATTAGTTGATATTTGGGTGCTGACAGACTGTATGAACCCATTCCAATAAATATTTTAGCTTGTGGTGTCTTTTTGGCAGGGCTGTCTTTGAAACCCTATGAAAACATACAGAGAGGTTAGTGTACAGTAAATGTGAGTGTGGATTAAAAATGTGAACAATTGACTTGGATCTATCATCTTTGATTGTCACTGCTCTGACATGTACTGTAGCAGTGCTCATGTTCTCTCTGCTTTTTAATGTGAAAATAACCTCTGCTTGTTCCCATGTATTTGTCAGGCTACAACATGCTGTAGCATCAAACTATAATACTATCTCACAAATGTTAATAAAGATGTCCTAGCAAATAAGAAGCATTGAGTACCTTTTGTAATTTAATTGGAAAGCAATGCCAAAATATTTTTAACTAAATACAAAATGTTTCTCTTGAGCTTTTTGGAAATTGAGTACCACATATTAGAAAGTTATTTATTGCATTTTTCTTTAGTTCCTTAATATTTAAATTAAAGCCTACAGAATGAAGACATTTCTCAAAAACATACTGTACTACCGAGCAAAGAGATACCCAGCTCCCTAAATCACTGGATTACTGTTAAATCACATAATTACTGTTGAACATAATTACTGTAGTAATATTCTTTGTTTAATGAGTTATATGTTGTACTATCGAAGTTTTTCAGTAAGTATTTTTATTTTTATTTTGTGCAATTGTGATAGCGCTGACTGATTTAGGAAAAACAAATTTATTTAATTTTGCTAGACATAGAATGTATTTCTTCCCTTAATTGTACAAGTAAATCTTCAAAAACAACCAGTGGGAATGTAGCTCACCTTACTCTCTGTAACATTCATGTCTCCCCATGCAATAACACCAGCTGAACCCAAAGCAGCTGCTTCCCCAATAGTGTTCACCAAGTCAAACTAAAAAAACAACAACATGGTATTTCAACCAATCATACAGATTGCATGCACTTTGTTATGTATTACCCTAAGGTAATGGAGAACAGGACAAGAGTATTGTTATTGCACATATGTTAAGCTAGACAAACGTTCTCAACACAGCTACTTCCAGCTACTAAGGCAACATTATAGTGATCCTCTGCATGAAACAATGACAGGATGACAGATAAGGTTGCTCTCAGTCAGAAGGTTTTACATTGGAGAATTCAACAGAGAAATAGACACGCTCTTGCTTAGTCAGTGCATACATTTTGGCTACAGTGCAGGTATATCAACAGCTTAGATGTAATAAATTATACCTTTCTTGATTATATTTTCCCAAATAAGTGAAATAGTATTGCAATGAGATGAACAGTCTTTGTCTTTTTCAAAGGCCCATGATGATCCAAACCAAGGTCAAAATTGTTTTCGAGTTTGGATATCTAGGCAGCTGGCAATCAATTTTCCAAATGTACTGTAGATGTGCCCTGCATAAGGTCAAGTCAATTTCAAACAAGGTTTTCCTTGGAAATAACAGTTATGATCTGTACATTGTCATTTGGCTTAAGTCTGTGAATGTTATAAAAATGTTCTATAGGTTTTTCTGTTGCTGTTAAGTTGCAAAACTTGGACATTTATGATTTATAATTTTGAATAGAGAAATATTCATACACTCCATTTCTCAATGAAGAGATAATGCCGAAATCTGTTAAATTATTTTTATTAGGTAAACTTCAAATTGTGTGTTTTCAGTAGGCTTTTTAATTCTTACAATTTAGAAACAAATAAAATGAGTATGAAATGAGTAGTTTTGAAGGTGCTGTGTTCTCATGAGAGTAAGGCTTGACTGATACAGTAATGACCTAAATTAACAAGCTGAAAAGTGTAACAGTTCTTTGAGGATGATAATGCTTAAAACATGTCAAGGCCGTCTTAGTGTTCTGAATGTAAAGATGGAGTTTAAATAGGTACGGTACAGTAGCTGCGTCGGTATGCTTAGACTGAAAAGGAACAGGTAAAGGTTTATTCCATGCTGAAAGGAAAAGAAAAGAGACAGGTGTGACTAAAACATTTTGTCTCTTTTCTTTTCCTTTCAGAGTGAAATAAGACTTTACCTGTTCCTTTGAATGTATCGATGACTTCTTAAAAGATATTAGGAGGCTGAAGAGACAAGCTTTTCCTGCTGCACTAGAATGTGGTGTGGTTGCAATGGCACAGATTGTCCCTAGCCAGCCTTTAACAGAAGGTGAAGGACTTCTAGGACTGCAGCAACCTTTCAGGTCAAGTGGTACAAACAGCTTTTCTTTGGGAAATAGTTAAAAGAGCAGGTTCCTTTCCAATTTATTTGACTCCATCTTCATCGTTTCATCAAAAACAAATGCCTATACATGCCAAACATGTCAAAGGGTTTTTTGTGCTTCAGTATTTTGCAATAGAATTTAAAAGTTCTGTTCTTCTATCTGTTTCTGGTTTATTTTCATTGGACACCACCTCATTAATCATGGGCATGAATGGTTTGAACAGCTTTTTTTAACATTTTGTCTTGCCAACTCCTGTTAAACTCTATGTATTTAATAAAATCCATATACATACAGACACTGTGAGAAAACAGACATAAAATAGACTTATGACTATTTTATCATAAGTCATAACTTACCTCAGAAAGGTAATCTTGATCGCTGTTTTTAAACACCAGGCGAATATATGCATAGATGGGAATAGAGTAATTTTTCTTGGGAAGCATTGAAACTCTCATGGATTCTTGGATACGGTGTCGGACATATAAAGCAGCTTTAAAAGTGTTCTTCAATATTATTTCCAGATATATTGAGGGGTAAAGAGCTGTGGACTCCTCCCAAAGCCACATTAAGTCATTATTTCTTGCAATTTCAATATCAGGGCAATTACCAGAATAATCAGTTAAATCATCAGTGTATTCGTAATTATAGCAATCTGGATACAGGTAGTAGCCCCAAAGACGGTTAGGCTTTGACGCCTTTCCAAGCCTCAAAGAATCCTTGAAATACCTTATTGCTGCTTTTTCAAACTCTTCTCTGGCAGCATCTTCAGATTCGGCAAAGGTTAAGGTAAGATCTTGTTGCATAACCAGATATAACGACAGATTTCTGTAGATGTCCTTGCTACCCCAGTTTCGTATCCATTGTGGTCTCCACTCTTCAAAATCGAGTACAGCTAGGCCAGGCTGTTCAGAGGGAATGTAAAACATAATATCCTCTTTAGCCTCTTTGTAGTGCTCTTTGAAATTGATCAGCTGAGGAAGTCCACCATTGTATATCATACCAGTGTCTTCATCTACATAGGGGAAGATGCCAAACCTATCAATATAGAAAATAGCAATGCTCTGGTTGGTGGAAGACTTCAAAGTGCTACTCACATAGCGAAAATATTTCAGATCGAAACTAATGTTAAACCAGCTCTCACATAGTTCTGTGGGTGCATTCCATGCAAAAACAAAAGGGGATTTCAGGTCCAGTGGAGGAGCAGTCTGAAAAAGTGTCTTGCAACGGTTAACTTGAGTTATGAGAGCAAAACATAATGTTAATGTCCAAGCAGCTGTACCAAAGAATAGTCGCAAAGGGAAGATTTCCATTGCCAGTGGATTTTCAAATAATTGGTTGTGTAGTACCTGTAAGACAAAATATATTTTCTAACAAGCAGTACATTCAATCCATATAAGAAGCAATAATTCTACATGTTTTAATCTTTAAAGCATTAATTTATTATTTAGCTACAGACAAATAAATTTCAAGAAACACCTTTCAGAGTTAAATGGTGTCATTTAAGACCATATGTGGTCTCTAATAATGGTTCACAATGTTTTACAATGCTGGGATATGAATATCAAAGTTCTTAGACTAGGGTCTAGCCTGGTCTGTGAGAGACACAATCCAACACAATCCATTAGGTCTTATACATAACCCATCAATAAATTGCTAAGAGTTGGAATACAGTTGTAATCACTTTGGGAAACTAATTGAACTAAGACTTGTGATGGCCTTAATTTATATTGATATACTGCATACTCTTAAACCCTGTAACTGTGAAACACTGTATATAAATGCCAACATTAACATTATATCACTTACTAAAGTTCCCTTATAACAGCTGTCTGGGTCTGCTAATTTATCACGTAAGTTTTGACAGAAGGAGATATATAAAGGACATATCCATCCCTTGGTAGAAATGTAGGATTTGTGCTTAAAGTAAAAAAAAACTTTTCAAGCACACTTAGCACAGACTTTGTCTTTAGAGGAATTGTATGATCACTTTTGCTTTTGTTGTAATCTGAGCCAAGTGCTTCATGAGAAACAGAGGCTAAGATATGACATGCTTATCTGGACATGTTTAAACAAGTAAAGCATAAAAGCAATTCATAGCTCATTCATACAATACAGCTTAATTTGAATATACAACAAGCTTTGCTTTCAAGAGGACTAGCTACATTGAAACTGCAATGCTAGCAATATTAAAATCTTGAAATGATCCTTAGCATATTAACAAAAATGGTTACTAAAACATATATAAGAATATTTTCAGTATATTGGACAATTATATAACATTAAACAAGAAATATAGTTTCCTTTGTGAACAATTGAAATATGTTGTTTAAACCAATGAAATCTTATTATTGAATCCTAAAATATTAAATTGCAGTCACAAAATGTATCTAGATGAAATACTATTAAAAATTGTGTAATTTTCTAGACTTGTTTCAACATGGAACTTACAGCAGCTACAATTACATAAAAAACTATAATATACTATAAATACTGTGAAGTTAATGTAAGAATAATAAATAAGTCAGGATTTGCTGGCAACAGGAAAACCATAATCTATAATTTCTCATTATAACCATGAAACCATAGAAACAAAAGTGGTAGTTCCTATGTTAATCACACTTGCCATATTTTTAATATCATGAAAGATTAGTACCTTCATGGTACAAGGTAATTGTGCATACAATCTTAAATTACATTTCTTAAGGAACTTTATGCATGATGAGCAAAAGTGGCAACATTAAAAAAACTGAGCTGTTCCAGTGATAAATTCAAAGACTAAGAAGCCTTGATGATACTGTACAGCACAATCATTTGTACAATTTCACAGGATTTTACCTAGCATTAGGTAGTATTATCTTTAGTGCTCCAACATTTCATATTTAAAATTAAATCAAGTTTTATTTACCTGTTTGTTTTTGGCGTTTTATCCTTTTTGTCAGTTGACTTCCTGAGCAACTCTTTCAAATGCAGGAGCCTTTGTGACATCACATAAATTATGTTTTAAATTTTGTAACTGAAGTGAAGAAGCATAACTGCCTAGGTAAATGATTCTTTCACTGTAAAGTTTGCTCTTGAAAGGTGGTTTGATTCACACATTTTAAAAAATATCACTCTAAACAAATGAAATATTACTGTGTATTACATGATTATTAGAACAACAGTACTGTATATCATATAAACTGCTGCTGTGTCTCTCAACAATTATTTTATATATGTATTAATAAAGGTGTCAATTAAAGAAGGTGATCAGTGATTCTACTCTATCAGCACAGTTGCTCCCACATTCCAAAAACTGTATCTCTAAATTTGCTTATACTGTATATGTGTGTGTGTGCATGCCCTGCAATGGTCTGGTATCCTGTCCAGGGTGTTATTCAGCCTTATGCCCTTTGCTTCCAGGACAGGCTCCAGATTTCTCATTATGAATGCGCCAAAAAAGCTTTTTTTACATAAAAGCATTCTTAAGGTATGTTTTTATTTTTATCGATTGAATTAATTCCCACAGAAAAAAAAATGTTTTGTAAAAAAAATACATCAAGGAATACAAGTTATTTCTACAAGGTATTACTTATAATAATTAAAAACAGGGCAGCACGGTGGTGCTGTAGCTACAGTAGTATTGCTGCTTCACAGTGCTGGGGCCCTGGTTCTATTCCTGGGGTGCTATAGGGTGCTATTTGCATGGAGTTAGTACTGTATGTTCTCCCCATATTCACATGGGTTACGTCCAGATGCTCTGGTTTCCTTCCTTCCATAGGCCAATAACATACCTGGAGGTTAATTGGCTTCCAGGGAATACCTGGCCCTGGTGTGTGTCCCATCCAGGGTGTATCCTGCCTGGCTGTTGCTTGCCAGGATATACTGTGGTTCCCTTGTTCCCTGAATGGGATAAAGCAGGCAGAAAATGTATGGATAGAATTAAAGAAAAACAATTGAATGTTACTTTATGCTAATTCTACTATGTTAATAATACAATTCTGTATTTTCTTCTTGCGGCTGTACTGTGTATGTTTAAAGCACAATTTCTAATCAATGCCATTATTTCATCCTTGTTTTCCCTGAGAATAAACTGACAAAGGGCAATGCACAGAAACTTCTGTTTTTTTATCGTGAATGTGCACAGGGATTTTTCATTATATTTCAATACATTCAGTTTTCTTTAGACATTTGTAAATGCTCTCAGCTTCAGAAAAAAACACAATTACAAAAGAAGAAAATAATACAAGAAGTAGTAAAATATCACTATTTGAACTGAAAGGCACATTTTAGCAAGGAATGGGATAAAACAATATAAATAACCAAAAAAATTAGACGTGACAAAGATTTGCTAGTTAATAGAAAAAAAAAACTACTATTAAACACACCTGGAAAATATACTGTATGCATTAGAAAATATTTTAATGTAGTGAGAAAGGCAAATATATTGTAAAATGTGTTTTTTAATGTAGGTCTCACACTGAAAAAGCCCGACAACAACAGGATTTATTACTCTTCTGGAATAATTCAAGAAGGCATTTGTCTCCATATATTAATAAAGATCAAAGATGCAATATCTTTTTGTTAAAGGGTACATTATTATTTTGTAAGTAGCCTGTCAGTGATAAACACAGTATATAAATTGATAAATAGAGCATATTAAAATTCCTCTGATATTTAACATGATTGAAAGAAATGGTTGTATTCAACTGAGTTCATTCAGAAAGTTTTCAACAAAGATTTACAGTACCTGTGATAAAGGCTCCTTTAACTCTTCTTCAGATTTTCTTATCTGTCACCTGAGACAACTTGTCACTCAATGTAGCAAAACAAGATCAAGAAAAGAACTCTAACTCCCATTACAACATCCACTCAATTATACAAGTAAACACTATAAAATTATCTCTAGGTAGAATTTCACTCTATGCCAAAGCTGAAAGCTACAGGGCAATATGAGAATGATATATGACTGATGCACTGTCAAAAAATGAGATTTTTTTCCAATTGATTATTGATGTAATGTAATAATAGTGAACATTTCTATAACTTACTCAAAATGAAAAATATCCAAATAAAATAAACAAGCTCTCTGAACTCCATGAAATCCAACTAATTTCACCAACAGGACAAACAGGGAGCTTTTTCTCCATTGAAAACCTTTTTTATAGTATGGTAATGGTAACATTTGGTAGCATAATGGTAACATTTTATCTAGGATAAATATAATCAGATTTGTGTCTGATGGTTAAGATTATACTTCCATTTTTCACACAACAGTTAATGTATTAACACTAATTTCCACTCTTGTCAAGATGTTGTATATCTTTATATACAGTGTTAATGACATGGTTTGTGGACACATCAAACTCAGCCACATACAAAAAGCCCTTTGTCTCACAAAGGCAGGAAGTGTTCCTGTGTTTGTGTGGGAAACAATGCTTTCTCAATATTGTTTGTGAATGAGGAAGCATAAAACATTTCCTTGCCCTCTTGTGTAATACAGATAAATGAACATTATACTGTGCCAAGAACACGTTTTTGACATGAGCATTATATTAACCCTTTACTAGTGTGTTTATTAATTCAGTGTTCTGCATTGCATAGAAGCATTGCAACAACCTTCCCTAAAAAAAACACATTACATTTTTAATGATGACAAAAACAATGGTCAACATTAACAGTGGATTTCGGTCTTCATATGGGTAAATATTTTACTATTTTGTATGTTCAAAGACTTTATATTAGCAGCTGGGATGGTTTAAAATAGGTTTTACATGATTAAATGTTAAATATATATACAGTATAAAATGTAATTAATTGTAAAATATTCTGCAGATATTTAAGTGAATTCATATATGTCTGTGTAGACATGGTGTGATCAACACATTTCAAAGGAGAACTTGATGCACACTCGAGTTACTGTGGACACCAGCCTGTTTTGAGTGGTTTCTTTTATACTTCTTTTATTACTACAGTACATATAATTTTAGATTAGATGCTTCAGAAATTAATGCCCCAAACCAATTTGTGATTTGTGATTTGTACAGAATGAATCTATTTTAGAAAACCCATCCTTAAAGCTCTTCAGCATAACAAAGTAACATTATAATCAATATACAGTACTTGACTGATGCCTTTATCCAAATCTTCTCACATGTACAGAATCAGTTTATGCAGCCAGACATGTGACATGGATGATGGAGCAGTCTGCATGAAATAATTGTACAACAGTTAAGCCCCACCAAGGTTAACTAAGGAGTTGAACACAGAGCTTTTCATTTACAATTGAACAATTCTAAATACTGTTCACCTGCTTATATCCACAACCCATGCACAATAATCACATAAGCAGCTCAATCAGATAATGATGATAGTATTAATCAAATATAATCAGCAATAATGAATAATCCATTTGTTACTTTTTAATTAAAAACAAATAAGAACACAACATTTTGCATTTAAAAAAAATTCACACAATGAATTAAGTTTAAGAAATAGCCTTCAATAAAGCAGAGTTGAATATTAGGACAAGGAAGTATGCATATACTTTAAGTATGAACTAGGTCTTTATAAAATTATTTGCATAAACTACTTGTAATGTATGACTTGCAAAACAGAGAATGAGAAACAATATGTTGCTGGAGAATTATGGAGAATTCAGCAATACAAGAATACAATAACACACTTCTTTTTATAGTTAAGTTGCTTTTCACTGTCTTCTTACATACTCTTTCTGTTTACTTGAGGATTAGTCCAGGTTTTCATTTTTGAGGGCTACAATCCAGCAGGGTGTCTGGGTGTCTATAAACACCTATAGAGGGTTTATCATGTTGTCATTATGGACAGAAAGCAAGGATTAGTACCACTGCACAAAAAGACAAAAGCTTTATTTTTACTGTAGGATAAGGCTAGGATATCCATAACATGCTGATGTTTAGCAACAATAGCTAAATATAGAATTATGAATTAGTTTTTCAGTATACAGAATGTTGATTGATTAAATAAATTTTCATTATGAAATGTAGAAAGAAATAATTGTCATAAATACTTTACAACTAAATTAAGTGTCCCTATAACCCCTCCCAGGATAATAACAGGTGAATTTTTTTCGGAATCCATCCAGGTCACTTTCAGAGGGTGAACCAACAGCCACATGTTTCCCTTCAGCATCTTTTTCTATCTTGAAGCTGCGGGGGTTTAAATGCAAGTAGTCACTGGAGTGTGGATGCTTTCTGACACATCGACCAGTGTTCCTGCATATCGCAGAACTGCAGAGTTGTGTGGCGGCAGTAACATTTGCAAGATAAGGATTCAGAATTTCTTCTAAATATGTACCCATGGCAGAGCACTTTTCCTGCAATGAATGAACAAAAAAATATCAATACACTTTTACCAAACTGGCACGTTGAACTGACTTTTTAATTTACCCTGGTCCTGTTTCTGATTCTGATTCTAATTTTTACCCTGATCCTAGAAAACAACAACTGAGTATATTTGACTGTATAGAATACTGTATACTGTATGGAATATACATATTCCCTTTGTTAAAGTTAATTTAATATTACAGTTTTCATAATCACAATCTAGTTTATGTATTTTCAGCATATAATTCAAAGACAGCTCGTCTATTTGTCACTTCACCACTCATCCTTTTGCTCATTGTTTTAATTAATTGTTGATGGGAAAACTCAGAGCAGCCCCTTTGGTGAATGCTCAATAAACTTATCAAGAAGGCTGGCTCTGTGTTGGGGCTGAGCCTTGACCCCCTGGAGGTGGTGGCTGAGAGGAGAATGCTGACCAAGCTCACAGCCATCATGAACAACACCTCTCATCTGCTTCATGAGACTGTTACTGGGCAGCAGAGCACTTTTAGCAACAGACTGCTCCAGCTACGGTGTTCAAGGGAACATTTCCCCAGGTCTTTCCTCCCGGCGGCTGTCAGGGTGTATAACACTGCCATAGGCTAGGACTGTTAGCCCTTCTTTTGCTCATCTATGGACAGCATGTTGCTCCATTGCACATTGCGCACATATTTTATTGTTTTAACAGTGACTATGATCATATTTTTCACACACCTATGTATTTATTTTTATTTAGTTATTTTATTTTATATTTATTTTGTATTCCTGTACGTATTCTAATTTTTTGTCTATCCTGATGTCTGTTTTTTTTGCTTGTCTTGGGCTGCTGTAACAAATCAGTTTCCCTTCGGGAGCAATAAAGTCTTATCTATCTATCTTTGCTTATACAGTAGTCTCATCACAGTATGGCAATCTGTAGTACACATGTTTAGTTTTGTGATGAGACGGGTAAAATACATCTTTCCATACAGTAGGTCCCACTCAAGATCCCAAGTGGAAATCTCACTTCTTAAAAAGAAAAGAACTTGAACAAACTGACCCAATCTACCAATTTTGCATCTGAAGTAAGGCAAGGGCTGGAATTATATGAAGTAAATGCTTTCCATAGTAATTGTCATGGATGTCGGAAGGGATGAACTCTTGAAAGGCAGGAAAGCAGAAAAAGACCCTATGTGAAGCGACAGAACGGGGAGTTAGCCCGGGCTCAGCAGTGCAGGAGTTCAAGAATTGCTGTATAGAAACCTATGTCCTCAGGCCACGGACGAAGCGGCGGCCTGGTGCTAGGTGGGTCTGAGAACATCCGAACGTCAATCCGAACGAGAGAGAGAGACACCGGAAGGAGAGCAAAGCACAGGAAACTAGGGACAGGACAGAATAGGAGTGCCCTCTGGCAGTAATAGTTTCTTTCCTCTTCAATGAATGTGTGGCAGACACTCCTTTTCAGTATAAAATGTGATTCAAAGGATTGGAGCACATAAAATCCAATAAGGACTGTTTCTTGAGGTGCAGAAGGCTTGATTTAGGAAGCCAAGCAGGTCTTACAAACAAGAAGACTGTTGACAAGGAGAATCCTTATTTCATCCTCATTCTCATCTAACTTCTAAATTGTCTCCCCTAACTGTTTCCAACCTAAACCACCATACAGAATATTACAGAGTGTTGTAGCATATACATGTATACATACAATATATATACAGTATTTATATGCAATAACACACATATGAGATGCTTCTCATGCTGAATTTGACATACAATGACACCACTAATTAACCCTATGTAAAAATGTGCATTCTAACCCCTTAATAAGAAATACACAAATTGAAATAGACTTGTTAACAGAACATCAGTTTAAAGGTGGCCTCTAGTGGCATATCTGTTATCTACAGCCTATCTATAATTCTGCCTACCACAGGATATCTGAGAGATTCTATTTTCTTTAATCTCTAGAGATTGTTGTCTTTAGAAAAAGTTACTATGAAAGTTGTTTTTGTCTGACTATAGATTATTTTAATAGAAAGAGTCTTTAGAATAATATCTATACTCCATACTTCCCATACTTCATAATTGTATATACTGTATTTGTAGTTTTGTAGTTTTATACAATGTATTTCATAAACAACAGTAAAAAAAACTTAGCATTTATGGAGTCTGTTTAGAAAATGTTTAAAATGAAACATATTATCTTAATTTGAAACATTAATTACAGGTAATTGAGTACAGGTATACAAGTATACACTTGGAAATATAACAACAATATTATATTTCATTTTAATTGTGTTCTGTACATTCTGAGTTCATTTTTTTTCAAGAATCATTGATGTTTATCCCGTACTTCAAATTGCATTTTTCTCATTATAACCCCATTGTATTACCATCATTGAAGTTATTAAAGTTACCTTATCACTGAAGTCACTGTAGGCTCCCCAAAACACAATCCCTGAAGCTCCCAGAGCTGCACTTTCTCCTACAGAATGCACAAGATCCACCTATTAAATGAAGCAACACGTTTTGTTAATACTGAAAATATCAAAACATATACAAATCCTACATGTTTGGAGAATTGGTTAAAATGCAGAGCATTAAACATTTTGCTTCCTACTAAAAATGCATTTGAGTATTTTTATATTTTGCATTTTACATAAAGTTTTGTGTTATTGTGTGTAACATTATTTTATTCTGAGAGTTGTTATGTACAGTGCTTCTAATGTAGACTAACGTACCCAAAAATAGCATCTCAATTTACAGTATGTTATATTCATTGTGAATTATTCATTTTTAAGTTGGTAATTCTGAATTTGTGTTGTATCCTGTCAATCAGTTTAAATATCTCAACACTAGACAAGATAACCATCACAACACTAAATCTCAAATCTAAATCTCTTAAATATCTCAACACACTCTAAATATCTCTAATCCTGAATTATCTAATATTAATTAATGCAAACGAGAGGGTGAATTGAATGTAATTCAGTCCATCAAATGACTATAATTAGCACAGAGAACATTTTCCTTAGATCAGTGCATAAACAAGAAACAAGGATATCCAATGCCTGTAGCATGCAAGTTTGGTGGTCAACCTATTATTATTATTGAATTATTATTATCAATCATAATAATGTTTTTATTATCCATAATAATACAAGAAAAATCGTTGTTTTTTTCTATAAGGAAATAAAAATACTTTGTAATTTGGTATTAAAGTGATTTTTTACAACTGTTATGATAACTGTCGAGGGAAAAAAAGCACAATTTTTATAATATAAATTCAGGGGCTATGAAGTGGTACACGTACTTCTGTCAGGAATTCTTGGGTGCGACCAACAAATTTAGGACGATGATAAACATACACAGGAATTGGATCTGGCTGTTTTGAAAGCTTTGCCACCCTCATTGCTTCCAGAACACGATAGCGAACAAACAGTGCTGCTTTCTTAGAATCCTTCAACTGTTGAAAGAAATAAATGGATGGGTAGAGAGCTGCGCTTTCTTCCCAGAGCCAGTGAAGTTCATCATTGTATGCCTTCTCGCGTACTGGGCACTGGCCATCATACTGCTCATTAAGGATATTCCTGTGATTGTAACATTCAGGGAACAGATAAAAGCCCCAGAGGAGATTGGGCCTCAGTTCTTTACCCAGCTTTAATGTTTCTTTCATGATGTTCTTTGCAGCCTTTTCAAATTCTGCTTTTGCCATTTTTTTTATGTCTTTCAAAGAAAAAAACGGGTTGGCTTCTCTTTCGCGAGCCAGAGACAGCTTCCGATAGAAGATCTTCTTTCCCCAGTTTCTCATCCAAATAGGTCTCCAGTTTTCCCAATCAATCACAGCTAATCCTTTGACCATTTCAGATGAAATGTAGAACTTGATGTCTTCTTTGGCTTGTTCCAGGTGCTTTTGGAGGCTAGCTTCCTGAGGGATTCCACCATTGAAGTGTTCTTCATTTTCTTCATCTATAAAAGGGTAGAGTCCTAGTCTCAGGTTATAGAAAATGGTGAGAGGCTGATCTATCATATTAGCCATTGGAAAACTTATTACAGAAAACTGACGCAAGTCTAAAGAAATATTATGTTTTTCTGAACAACGAACTGATGGTGCATTCCACACTGAAACAAAAGAGATGTTTTCAGAAAGTGAGGCAGAATTTGTCCCGGAATCATGAGATAAATTAAAAATTCTCAGGCAGGAAAGGCTCATAATTGTCATGAACAACACTGAGAAACTGAAGATGCTCATTTTCTTCATGATGTGCTGTTATTTCAGTTCATACCAGAACAAAGGGAATGCAAAGAGAAAAAAATGTTATTGTTTGTTTATTGTTTTACCATAGATATGTTTCTATTTCAATATAAAATGTTTAAAATATAATTTCACTAATATGTATGTTTATGTTTACAAAAAACAATATAAGAAAAGTACAAAAACATTTTACTTTTTACATTCAGTACATTTTCAGGAGAAATGTGAATAACATTTATTAGGAAAATACTTGCTTTTTTGCCTAGTTACAAAACTAAAATAACATTAAATGAAAAAACTGTTCTTAAGAAGAAGAAACTCACTTTGTTACCCTTAAAATACATATATCAATATATTACCTTTTGTTGTTGTTTTCATCAGCAGCAAGAAATAGGCAAAGTTGTTACACAGTTCTTTACTTTTTAAAAGAAGGAGGTCACATGGACACCCATTACACGTACATAGAGGCCACGTAACCAAACCAGGTAATCTAATTCCTCAGAAAAAGCTCTGCTTTCTTTGTTGAAGTTTTATACTTTTTGTAAACTACTATACAATGGCATAAGCTGTAAGTAAACAACAACTACTTTATTTTAAAACCTTAGCTGCAGTGATCTGTATAGTGCTTACTTTGCTTACAGTCTTGAAAAAATTACTTAAATATACTCTCATATAATATATATTTTTTCTTATAAAAACATAATAACCCATGCGATCTACCATTTTTAAGGGAGGAGTGGATACTTCTAATTACTGTTGCTGGTAAGATGTTATTTGCGATAGCACAAGAAACATAAATGACACTTTTTGTAAGACGTATTAAAAAATATTCTCAAAATTGCTGTTATAGAGAAATTAATATATTGAAAATGAATGATATAACAGGAAAAACTAATTAAATTATTTTAAAATATATATATATTTTGGATCAAGATAAAACAGGAAAGTACACACTAGGCAATGTCAGTCTTTCCTTTTTTTAAACTACAGTACATGTTCACATTACATAACATGCTTACACATTTGTAATAAAATGTCAACTATTTATATCCATCCACATTTTTTTCTAAAAGCGTTATCCAATACAGTGTTGCTGCAGGGGAGCTGGACCCTATCCTGTCAAGCAACAGATACAATGTCAGAGCACTGTTCCAGTGGCATAACAGGTTTTAAATAAGGGGAATAAGATTGGAAAATTTCCTGGTTAATTAGAAGATAAGGGCATTTATAAATGGCCAAAGAAGCCTGTGGAATATTGCTGGTTACTGGGCCAACCAAGAGCTGTGGGTTCCTGCCCACCTGGGCATTACAGTAATACAATAAAATGTGTCAATAAAGTCCAAGGGGAAAGAATAGTTTTGATAGACAACTTAGCAGCTGTATGAAAGATACACTTCATTGATTTATTAAAATCAGATAACATTGTTTTTCTCCAGTCGTGACAAACATTGACAGAAAAAGAAATTGGAGAGTGATGAATTGTGTGTGGTGACTAAGTATGTGCTACACCTGTCATACAGTAGGTAACTAGTGACATGACCCAGGTACTGTATGAACCTGCCGCATTTGAAAAATGGAGATTGGTTGCCAATTCAGCACAAATGCCGGTTGAGCCATCTGTGCAACACCCACATTCTTCTTGAAAAAGTTGTTTCAGAATGTTTGAAAATCTTTTGTGTTCTACCAGCCTGATTTTTTCTGTATTAAAATGCTATTTGATTGCTACAGATGTAGTTACATTCAAATGGATATTTATTATTTGCATAAGTTCCAATACAAAACAACGTAATGTTTAGCGAGCTCTAAGGCATTTGAAATGACCTTTGGAACAGAGGCCTGTGTAGGAAAAGGCATGTTCCCACATAATAATAAAACACAAGCCTAAAATACTCAGTTAATGTCGCATCTGGACTCCCAGCCTTATTCATCACCCCTATCAGTGACATTGAGTCCAGGGGAGATCGGGTTTCTAGACAGACCTCAATTAGCTACAGTATACTGTACAGTAGGTCCACTAGTCCACTGGGGGTCTCTCTACTTACTTCCCTTCATTCCTCTGCAGGTGCAGCTGGATTGGCCACAGCTTTTGTTATCCTGTAGCCAATGCTAATGCACACATGCAGTGGTGAAAGGTCCTAAATGAAAACAAGCTACATTCACTAAAGCTATGTTTTTAGGAATATATTGCAGTTTGTTTTATTTATATATTTTTTTCTTTTTAAAGAAATAAAATGGTGTATATTGCAGCTATATTAATAGTATACTGTAGTTCATTATAATATCATTGTCAGTTCAGGTTTTATTCCTCATATCTTACAAAGTGGCAAGGATCAACAGAGACTACGTCTGCTAAACTGTCAGTTTTAACAATGCCATGTTGACCTTTCTTTTAATCTGTAGTAGTAAAATCACAAATTACCTTAGTGTAACAGTACAATCCTGTATCAATATACAGTAATCCTCTATGTGAACCTCTTTCAAACAACTACTGTATGTATGTCCACCTCATACCCATCTACAGCTAGATTTATTACTCTCTTAACAGAAATGTATCACAGAATCTCATAACAGAATTTGACAAGTATTGTATTGCAACTTTATTTTGCTTTGGAATTTCTTCTACAATGTTCTTCATTACTATCATTACTATCATGTTACAGTAGCACATGTACAGTACATCTATGTTTTAAACAATAACTCTTCAGCTGAATACAGATACAGCTCAGCAAACAAGTGAATTGATTGAAGGTGTTAATTTTAGAAAAGACATGTCTGTGTAATGTGAAGCTAAATGTTTATGACAGTCGGAGTTTGTGGAAAACTGGCTGGTAAATTAGCTTTGCAGCTCTTTCCTGCATAACACCGGCAAGTAAATTTGTTCATAAAAATGGTCAGGTCAGCAGAGCTTGTCATGCCAACAGCAAAGTATTTTCCATTTGAGCCTCTTTGTATCTTGAAGTTAGCGGGATTGAGATGGAGGTAATCATTGGAATCATAATTCTTCCTGACACATCTCCCATTGCCCTGACAAAGCATGTCACTGCAAAGCTTGGCAGCTGCAGTCACGTTTACAATGTAGGGGTTCAGAGTTGAAGGCAGGTAGCGAGACAATGCTTCACATGATGCCTGTAAAAAAAGTTCATTATTAGCCTGAAGATGTGGTTACTAATATATTTCTGGCATCTTGTAGTTTTATGAAGTCACGTTACATTGTGTGATATTTTATTATTTTCCAAACAGTATATAAGAGACGAAGATAGTTTATAGGACTGTTTTAATTCTATTACTTCAAGACCAGATTTTTCAAAATCTTAATTGATTGGTTTGTTTATTTTAGTAGATATTTAATATGTACAGTAATCGGTATTGAAAGAAATTCCAAATTATTTCCCTATACAGTACCTTGTCATCATAGTCTGCACTAGCTCCCCATAAGATTACACCCGAGGCTCCAACTGCAGCAGATTCACCAATGGTGTTGATCAGATCATTCTGAAAAAATATCAGAAAACAACAAATGTAGGGAACAGCAGAATGTCACGCACTAGTGTATTTAAAACTGAGAGCAAGAGATACATCTTTTACCCAATGGGATGTGGAACTGTGGAACAAGCTACCCAACTATGTTGTTGAAACTGATACTCTGACTTCTTTCAAGAAATAACTGGATTAACAACTAACTATTAACTATCAAAAGGTTCAAATGGGACAGATGGCCTCCATTCACATGTAACTATTTTAGTCATGTACTCTAACTGTTGGAACTTTCAAGCCAATATGGAAGAAAGTAAATTACATGCACATACTGTATCAGCCAAAGCTTAAATTGCCATCATTTGCTTCACCTAATCAGCAAAGGCCCATATTGTAAACAGGAAAGGAACGCAGAAAATCACAAAAGTGTATTTTTGCACAGAAAACTGAGAAAACCCAGGTTAGATTCCATATTTGTATATATATTTTATAAACCAGTCAAAGCCTTAGCTTGACTCATGTGTTCTACTGTTCTGGAAAGGCAATCATGCTGTAGTTAAGATGATCTTGGGAGCCCAGCTAAAGTTTTGAAAATACTGTTAAATTGTGAAATTGTGAAAAAAGAGGCAGAACATTCTCAACCTATGATTTTAATGTAAATGTTAGAAACATGTTTTTAAAAATAACCTTTTCAGATTAAGTATTTTTATTTATGATACATTATAGTCGGAAACATTGTGTTTTAAAGCAAATGTCAACAAAATCAGCTTTAAAGGGAAAAAGCTTTTGTCATTTAGACTTCAACTTCTCTGACTTTGTTGGAACTCTACCCTTTCTATCTGTAAAGGTTTCTCTAGAGTCTGACAGCTTTCTGTGTTGAATTTTGACTGAAGAGAGGGAAATCACACAAAATATAAATGGAATATTTTAAAGGTCAGATTTGAAAAATGCAGTACCAGTAAATTTAAATTGCTTAACCTACTGTAAGTTTCATTTGAAGGATGTTTGATCATTTGATATCTTTATTCTGTAGCTTACCTCATTCAAAAATTGTTTGTTGCTGTCAACAAAAACTGGACGGTTGTACACATATACAGGAGCAGTGAAAGAGTGTTTGGGAAGAGCTGCTACTCGCATTGCTTCTTGGACACAATTGCGCACGAACAGTGCTGCCTTGTAAGACTCTTTCAGCAGTGTAGACAAGTAGACTGAGGGATAGAGTGCGGTGCTTTTTTCCCACAACCATATGAGTTGATCATTTTGACTTTGCACTTGAGGGGAACATTTGCCTGTATAGGGTTTGCTCACATCTTTGTACTCATAATTATAACAGTTTGGGAACAGATAGTAACCCCACAGTTCTTGTGGTCGGTCCTTTAGTCCAAGTGCTAATGTGTCTGCCATGTAGTTTCTGGCAGCAGTCTGAAACTGTTCTTTTGCTTCAGCTATAGTCTGTTGGGGTGACAAAGAGTCATTCAGCTGTTTCGTGTAAATGATAGACAGGGTCCTGTATATAGCTTTTGAGTTCCAGTTCCTATCCCATAGTGGTCTCCATGCTTCCCAGTCAATGACAGCTAATCCTGGGGAAGCTGTGGATGGAATATAATATGCTATGTCATTTTTGGCTTTTTTTAAGTGGGCAGCTGAATCACCTTTTTGTGGAATGCCACCGTAGAATTCTTGCTTTGTTGTTTCATTGACATTTGGATATAGCCCTAATCTGTCACTATAAAAGAGGGTTAGTTCCTGGTCTTTTATCTTTTGGGGTGTAGTCACAGCTGCAAACGGTGCGAAATCTAGAGTAACCTGGTTATTTTCACATATATTTATTGGGGCATTCCACACAGCCACAAATGGATAGCCGTTAAACAATGGGCCAGCTGTAGGTGGTATATGCTGAGTAGAGCCCAAGTTCTCCAACAGGGCAAGATACAGAAGAGTGAAGAAAAGATGTCTGTTTTTTCTTTTTTGGATTAATAGGTCCATCGTAGTTTCTCTCTGGAATCCTGTAAAAGAAATTATACTATATATGCCATTGATCTGTTCAGCCTATGAGATTGACTATATTTTCCTCTGATTTTAAAATACTACTTTATAAATACTTGGATAAAATAAAGTATTATCAGGTACAATTTACAATAATATACTCAATCCACCACTTGGTCTGAAGGTGAGCTTCAGCTGTTGTTTCTGCTGTTGTATAATATGTTTCACAGAAAACAGTATATCATATTGAAAAATGTCACATTTCTATAAGACAGAAAAGTGTGAAGAATAACAATTTCATACATGTATTTATACTCTCAGTATTCTTCAAAATATATATCAGCAGACTGTGCTCAAGCAGCTAAATCTCACTTCACAGACACCAAGCTTGTTAGATACAAGTACAAACAGTAAGTACTATACATATAAGATATACTGTATACTCTGTATCTCTATAGCCTACTGTCTTTTAGTTTTCTGTCATAGAAAGTTTTAAAATTAATAAAGAAGTTGTAGTATTTACAAAAAAATAAAGAAAATAAAATAATTTCTGCAAAAGAAAGTGAATAAAGAAATCTAGTCACACTTGGGTATTTCTAGATTACAGTAAATGATATTGTAACGCTTCAGGGTTCACGTGGGCACCCTCGGCACTGCCACATCAGGTCAGCCCCCCACTGTCAGGAATTTGAACCTAGGCCTCTGACATCACTCAACAGCAACCCAGCCTCTTGAGCCAAAGGGAAATCTCCCACCGGCTGCGGTCCCTGCTATTCACCGGGAAGGGCAGTAGTGTCACCGCTCTGGTAAGCCGGCTCTCACAACCAATGGTGGCCATATGCGTTACAATATCAATAAAGACATTGGGATTCATGGGAAACATCTGCAATGAGATGACTACAGATTTACCTGATTAACTCATACAAAGACATTTGCATACAACCATAAGATGGAGACAACAATCAGATGTTTTGATTGTTGGCTCCTGAGGAATTAAAAAAAAATACAGTACCTGGGCCTCATTCATTTTAGAAACATTCCTTCTACCGAAGCCTGGATCTAAGCAAAACACTGTAGAGAATAAAATGTGGCTGTCTACCATGGGCAAGAAGAATTGCTTCTGAGGCACAAGTCCTTTTTGGTAGCACTTTAAAATAAGGTTGTGATATTAAGGCTTTATAAACGTTACCTCAGGTTTTCCCATATAAGAACTAGAGGGAGGTTACGTACAATAATACCTCATATGTATATGCATCTATGCAGAATGTTTTGTTATAATCAAGACTGCTAGGGTTGTTTTGGACTATAATAGAAGTTTGCACCTCTGTGTCATGTACTGAGACTTTGCTGGTTTAACCTCTGCAATAGTGTGATCAAGAGGAATTTAAAATTATGTCATTTAAGAAGCTCTGTGTTTTAGAAATTTAGTTGCACAAAACATTCCTTGCAGTTAACTTAAGTGAGCCAAATAACATGCAATCAACAAATGGAACCATCCACTTATTGTGCCGGTCTCCCACTTTGATTGGTAGTTAACACCCAGAGAGTCTTTAGAATTGTATTATAGTCTGCTAGATTGTAATGCTCTGTGTATCAGATGGGAGAACGGAGTATTTCTAGAGCATTGACAGTGTTGTAGGTATTTTTGTCAGACGTGATTATAATAAACCTGTGATCAAGTGTTCAGACTGAACACAATCCCATTGTACAGGTGAACATTTCTGCTGGTTTTAGTATGATTTTGTCTAAAATATTTAATTACTGTAAAATGATAAAATATTCAATTACTTTATTTAAGCTATGAGAGATGCCTTTAAGTTACAATATGCAGGGTTCAAATAAACATGAATATACTGTATAGAAATACAGGAATGTGATGTAATTGTTTCATACAGTACATTCAATTCAATGAATCTACATGAAAGTGGATAGAAAACCTAAAGACATTCAAATGCTTTATAATGAAGTTATAGTATATTTTATAGACTGATTTGATTTTCTTTTTGATTGTGATTTATTAGTAACATTAATATTTGAAAGCCTAATGGCAAAAAAGGAAAACAGATTTTGTCCACTTACCAATTACTTGACTGCAGCAGAGACTTTACTGCTAACTTCAAGCGTCAGATTTTACTTTCTAATGTCAGAACGCTCTTTTATGTTAAAGGACTATTGACATTATTGATTACTATTATGAAAGAGCTTTTGAATTTTTTTAATTGAATAATGTTAAACTAAACAGAAGTCTTTTCACATATAAATCATACCGGTTATCAAGAACCTTTGGCCTGAAGCATCAAGGAGTTTTATTTGCAGAACACAATCAATATAAATTAAGTTTATTTTGGCCTAAACATTTTACTGCTTATTTATAATGTTTGCATTTGGGACAAAAGCTATTGTAAAAGGTTGGCAAGTAGTGGTAGTAAATGATTTATAATGATTATATGTATACACTTACAAATATATACAGTACATACACTGTACAATAAGGTGCATTAAAATGGAACAAATGGGTACTGGAACAAATAGCATTTGATGCATTTTTCATGGACCTTGGTGCAGAAATACTGTATATGTATGAATGTTTATATTTATACACAAAAAATAATATATTAAATATCTCAGCATTCCTGACACATTCCTAGAACAGAATGTGTATTAAGAATTCCCAGGAGACAGGTTTACAGTGATTTGTATGGGAACTGGAAATTTTTGTGCACTCCTAGACATGTTCTCACAGTAGATTGTTAGGATGTTCACACTCCTCTGCACATTATGTAATTGCTATTGTTTTGGCTGTTGGGAGACTGGATGTTTTGTGACTTCTCCTAAGTCCTGGACAACCATCCTGTTCTCAATTAGGACCAGATAATTTTTAAACTTCTTGTTCAGTTTCCCAACATCTAATTTGTCAGTTTTTCACTTTGATAATGAATATTTTTCATACTTTTACCGGCAGATAATTTGAAAAAAATGAATGAACTTGCAATTAATTACTATTCATTAAGAAAACGACCTACAGTATATCACAGCTTTGTTCAGGCTTAAACACTATAACAATAAGGTGTTTTTTGGTAAATAAAAAACAACAATTGTAACTAGAAAACATAAAGGCAATGTTGAAGGTGTCACAAAACCCTATGGTAAATTAATGTGACAGTAAGGTTACAGTACATGGTCATCTAAAACATAACCCGCAGCACCAACAAAAAATGCTACAATATACTACTTTTGTAAAGCAATGTAGCAGGTTTCTAAGTTATTGGTAAAGTTGATTTGCAAGTGCATAGGATGATACTTTCCAATTGTGAAACTGTCCTCCAACAGTCATATGACGATACAGGAGCACTATCGTAGATTAATGTTTTTTTTTAGTTTATGCAAGCTTATTTATTACATACTCATCTTATTTGAGAGGTTAATTTTCCACACTGGTTGATATCTTAAAATCACACTCAAAATGGAATGTTTGAGAAAGACTAAAAAATGTTTAATAGTCCATCCATCTATCACTTATCCACAAGAGCTTCATCTTATAGAGCGTTCTGGTAATTAGGGGCCTAAACTGGAAATCAACAGGTTGGAAGACAGGACTACTTAATGTACAAAATGTCTGTGTATCACAGGACACAAAAACAGTTCTTGTGATGGTCCAAAGGGGTGTGTCCTGTGAGACATGGCTTTCCCTCTGCTATCTGTCGGTCTTTTTCAAAGCTACCCCCTGCACAAGATAGCAGCGTGTAGATCATGGGTGATTTCACAGGCCCAACAATCACAGCCACCATGGAGACAAGGTTGACAAGGAACCCATTCCCTGATGGAACACTGTCCAGATTACCCCACTTTTACCCAGCACAGATCAGATCTGTCCCTTCTCGGAAGGTTTGTGGAGAAGGGTGTTTTTCCTAAGAAGAGCTGCACCCTTGCTGATGAGTTATTATCTCAGCACTGACAATAGAGCAGCATTGGTGCTGAGGAATTTTTCCTAATTCAGATAAGAAGAGCAGCACTTAAGGTAAGTGTTATTTTTTCCCTTCTGGGGGCTGTTCCTTGCACTTGTTGGGCCAGGCTTATTTCAATACTTATATTTTCTTTTAAAGTCTTGTGCATCTTGTGTGTCTGTGCTCTGAACCCACCTACACCCTGTGCCCCTGTTGTGGGCTGCCCCACGTGGCATCACAGTCTGCACATAGGGACAATTTAGAGACACCAATTAATCAAGCAAGTATGTCTTTGGAAGTTGGGATGAAACTGGAGAAATTCATAGCAGTATTTTTATCATTTTTTGTAAATGTTAATGTCTGCAATATTTTAATGAAAGTTGTTGTAATTTCTAAACTGGCACAACTTCAGGCTTAATTTGCATTTTTCAGCCTAAGGTGTTCCTTCAAAGTGGCAGGGTGCTATAATGGTTCATACTATTGCTTCACAACTTTAGGGCAATGGACTCATTTCCAGATTGGGGTGTGTGTCTGTATGCAGTTTCCATGTTCTCTCGACATTCAAGTGGGTTGTAGCTGGAGTCTTTCTTTTGCCTCCCAGGGATAAAGATGTTAGGTGTGATTGGCTGCTTTAAATCGTCTAAATCAGGAAGAAATGGTTAAAGCAGGGGTAATACTTAGGCTTTTATTCCTGGTACATTTATAATGGCAAAACAGTGTGCAAAGAGAAAAATGAGAAATATGACAAAATAAGGTTTATGAGTCTAATGACCTTCTTTCAGTTGTGACGTTTCAGATCTGTTGTTCTGATATTCTATCAATTTATCTGCCGTAGGACATATTTCAAATAATGTGACAATTTGTTTATATATGTCAATTCTTACTCTTTCGCTCTTGGTGAAATATTTGGTAAACTACTTAAACTAATATGATTTATTTTTACTTTGTGATAAAATCTGCATCACTTTTTAGGTAGATTTTTCAAATAAACCTTTCTAAATAAATATTTGAATGGAATATTGCAAATAAACAGTACTCAAACTGTATTTGTGTTGGAATATTATTTTCTTTTAATGTAAATTAAAATGGCATGCCATTTCTTAGTGTTTTAAACTGCTTTACTTCAAATTGTGAGATAAAAAATATTATTTTACTTTTTCTGGCATTTGAGTTCTAATACTTCTACCCGTGCAGTGAGTTTCATAAAATGGATAGAAACACTGTGACTTTGACTTGCAAAGTCATGTGATTCAGCATTAGACAGTAGCTACAGTGAAAGAGAACTACAGGTTAAAGAACTGCAGACCTTTATAACATACTGTATATCTGTAAACCATAATCAGGTATCATGTGACAAACCTAGAACAAAGAGTACAAAGGCGTTTTATTTCAAAAGACTCCAGCAGTCTTTTGTTTGAAATTTTACAACCACACCTGTTTCATTGAAAATGTTAAATATTTGAACATATTTTTGTAGTCAAGTAGGTGTATGCAAATATACAATGATTTTTTGTACCTGCTTTTGTCATTAAACTCAGATATAATGTACAATAGTATATGCTGAAAACAACAGAGGAGAATATACGATTTTTCAAAAGAAAGTGGAAATATCTACAAATGAGAGGAGGTAATTTGGCCCAACTATAGTTCTGTGAAAAAGTATTTTTCCCCTTTCAGATATTCTACAATTTTGCATATTTTCACCATTAAATTTTGTCAGAGATTCCTGTGAGGGTCTACTAATATATAAAGGGAGTCTTTTGCTGGTTGTTTTATTTATTTATTAAACAAAGTATTTCAACATCCAATGTCCCTTTGCGAAAAAGTTAACGTCCCCTTAGGTTCAGTAACTGGTTACACCACCGTTAGCTGCAATAAAGCTGCTGTGTGGGGATGTTAATCCATTCTTCATGACTAAATGCTTCAACCACGTAACATTTAAGTGTTTTCCAGCATGAACTGCTCATTTTGTGTCCTGGCACCATATTGCCATGGGGTTTACATCTGGACTTTGACTTTCTCTAATAGCCTTGCAAGTACAGTATGTTAGGGATCATGCTGTATTAACCAATGGTTCTAATTCTTCTAACCAGTTTCTTCCCAACTTCCTGATTTTTATTGGCTTCATTCATTAACTGATTGAAGAAAGGCACTCTTTGTGTTTCATTGTTTATGAACACCATTATGCATTAGATGAAGCTGAGGTGGAGGTTGTATTAATCCATTACCTGCCTTAAACCACTTAGTTTACTAAATGTCATGGTTTAACCACATCTCATTAGAAATAAGGTGTGCAAACAGCAGAGGAATCCTTGCCACAAGCAGAATAGTAGGGAGAACCATCCCAATTTACTTGTGAAATGTCATTATTATCCACTTGTCAGGTATACTTCTAAAACATTGATTGTCATTGTCATGGCATTAGAGAAAGAAAAAACAATCAGAACACCAAAAACAAAAATATGGTAGTCAAGGTCATGGAAATTAAACAATACAATGTGAAACTCATAGGATTTTAATGTGACATATAAAAAACATATTTGTTAAAGGAAAGAGGAGTATAAAAAAGACATGTTGTACCTCTCTGCCTACAACCCAAGTTTCCCTCACCCCCAAAGTATTCACTAAGTAATCCAGGTAGGCATATAATGCAATTCAGGGGGCCCCCACTTTAAATGACCCCAAAAAGTCTTCTGTGTTAAGTCTTACACAACCATTTTGTCAAATTAAATCCTTAGGTGCTGTGTCTTTCCAGTTTTATGGATTGGAGTTTACAAATAATGGAAAAATTAATAGCATTTAAACAGAGACATACAGTACAGTATGTCTGCTAACGACTAGCTAACTGCTAAATGTGAACAGCTAACTGTTAACAGGTTGTGTCATAATAATAATGTATAAAAATAAACTCTGTAATAACACAAAAATATTAAAACATTAGCATCACTGTGATGAATACGTCAACAATATTTCTTCAATACTGATTTGAATCCATTGAGCAAATATTGGTTTGATGAAATC